CAAATCCATATCCGAAATTGATATCGAAGTGAAGGCGTTGCATAGATTTTCTGATAGGACATATCCAGCTTTATCCATACGAACTTTACATCGTACATCGTAAGAAATAACTATTTAACGTATATAAAGTTGGACACCATTGCCCAAGACATTAATTCTATTCGAGTGTCAAAATGGGGAGAATTCATCGGCAATTTTCCATCACTCCTTAAAACCGCGCCAAGCTTTATCTCTTGTGGAAAAGGGTAGAAATGTGATCATACATTGACAGATTATAATAAAAGTAGACAAGAAAATGGTTTAGTTTTAACTAGAAAAAGATCAAGAGTGCTCAATTAGAAAAAAATAAATAAATAAGGAGAAAATGATTGAAAGAGACTAAATCTAATTCATCAATTGACATCACAATACAAATAAATTTTAACTCAAAGCTTAATTAAGTTTATTAATAAGAAATACTCGTGTTGTAAATTAAGTTTATAGTTTAAATTTTAGTATTAATATTTAAAAAAAATTAATAGAGAAGGGCTACCCCCAAAAATAAATGGCAAGTTCTTTGATTTTACTGTGTCGGCTAGCATTTCATAACAATCATGGGCTTTTGTGTTATTGTACATTAAATTTTATCTTCCTACAACGAAAACGATAATGATGTTGGTGTGTATCGTGTCATGGTATCATTTTTACAAAAAATGTGGATATGGTATAGAAATTTCCAAGAGTTGCAAGGAAATGCTAGTGGATAAGCCTAATAGTAGTGTTTTAGAAATTAGACCAAACTGATTGGTTGGATCAATAACTAGTCATAAATTCATATGGTCATTGAATAGAAATTTTGGGGTGGCGCTATTGCCACACCCATAATTGTTAACACCACACCTTTTTTAAGTATTTGATTATTATACCCTTCATTTGAATCCAACTTGCAACAGTCACCACCGGTCTCACGTTCTCACCAGAATCTGTTTGCATCTTTCACCCTCAGAGAATCATTATTAAAAAATTCCTACTTTTTCTAGTTGATTTTGCTGATTCTCTCTTCCTTATTTCTTTGATTTTCCTTTTCCACATTCACTTTCCTTTCCCCTTCGTTGTTCTTCCCCCTCTGTAATCATCCCCATGGCTTTTTCCTGTCTTCAGTTTTCATTTCTAAATCGCAAAATCTATATAAATTAAAACTGAAATTTTCCCATTTAGGTGATTGATTTCTTGTTTACTAATTCCTCTAATGAATTTTAATAAAGAAATAAAGTAGTATTTGTAGGAGAATGTAATCTTTTGTTCAAAAATTCACCAAATCACAATCTAATAACATTTAAATTGCTTTTAGGCTTGTTGATGAGTGTGACTTTCTGTGTTTGAGATTGAAATTTTGGGGATTTTGATGTGATTGGGAGGTTAAATGGGCAGTGCCTCCACCAATGGAAGATGGTTTCCTGAGAGGGGATTAAGATTTTGCTCACGAGAAGATGACATTAAACTAAAGCAAAATATAAGGGAGGGCATAATGGTCAATTAATTAAAAAAGCTGTGGTGTTAACCTTTGAAGTTGTGGCAATAACGCCACCCGAAATTTTGAACCACCTAAGTAATTAATTAATTGGTTGAAATTGATTGAATCAGTAAAACTAGTACATTTATATAAATTTTAATAGAGTTTTATTTTTCCAATTTAAATTATAAAACAAAAATTATTAAACAAAAAGACAATCTTGATATCAAGAATTTCAATAATTTATATTATGCAATTTAATATATATTTAAGGAGAATGACATGTGAAGTTACATGAATCTAATCTAAAGATATATTAAAGCAAAATCAAACAAATTATTTTGTATTCAGATTTGGTATTTACAGTTAGTATTTATATTATAAACTTAAGCAATTACTCTTTAAAACACTAAACTACATTAGAACTAGATCAGAACCAGTTCAGAGATACCTCTTTCCACACTACCTCTGTCTTTATTGCATTCAATTACTCTTTTAATCCTCCTTCGCCATCTGTCCGATCAAATGCCATGTTACCTTCTTCCTCCCCAATTAAATCTCTCTTTTCCTCTCTAGCCGCCCCTTTGTTCTTCGATGATCTCATCTGCGGAATCCTTCAATGATGTCATCTACAGAATCCAGTGCATGCGAGCCATATCCATAGGAATATACATGATGGCAACCGACTCGAAGTGCGGTGGCCCTGAGTTCTTCCTCTACTTGCTGGGAATAGTGGGGCTAGTTACCTTTGAAAAGAAAATATGTAATCAAACAAAAAATATTATCAATTACTTATCTTTATCATTGATAAGAAAATATTAATTATCTTCATGAAGAATGTTGGTGGTCGTGATCACGAGTTCTTAGCGGTTTGAATAAACTATAGACCATTTGCTATTTTTGTTGAGAAAAATGGCACAAAGGAATAAACTAAATCCGGTGAAAGGAATAAACTAAATCCGGTGAAAGGAATAACTGTGAACAATAACAAATAAACAGTGAAACATGCGGCTTAGCCGACCAATACCAACGGTTAGTGAAAAAAGCGGCGTAACCAGCTAAGCAAAATAAATTGAACGATTTAACCAACCACTTAGGAAGAAAATAAAGTGAAATGGGCGTTTTAACCAGCTACTTAAGAGGAAAAGTAAATAATAAGATGACACCAAATTTTACGTGGAAAAACCCCCAAAAACTATTGAGGGAAAAACTACGAGACAAATTTCGAAGGATATTCCACTATGTGATAAAATTGTACAAAGTATATACTCAAGTGTTTTCTCTCTTGGTGTTTCCGACTCCCCCAGTATATGATCATAATCTTGATAAACTCACAATTTTATCACTCAATGTACTCTCTCTTTGGAGCACACTCACACCTAAGCTTAATGTCTAGTTCTCACCCCCTTTTTTCCTTTCACTTGAGCTCTCACTTTGCTCACTTGGTGCTGCACTCTTCTTTTTTCTTGCTTGCCCATTGCTTTGCCATTGCATGGGTATTTATAGATGGAGAAACCAACTACCCATGTAATTTTTCTTTACCTCATTAAATGAGGTTTATCTACAATGGTTGAAATAACCATTGTAAATTTTCAACAATGGTTGCTATAGCTTACAACCTTTTGCAATAAGACAGTAGAAATGGGGTTGGAATTTCATGGGTTAGAACTGGAAACTTTTGCCAACAATCTCCCCCTCCAGCCCCATAGGAGGAGACTTAAATCCGGACTCCTTACTTGGAGTCCATCCCGGCCAACTTCATGCAATACTCAAACTTTTCCCTGGGAAGAAATTTTGTCATCATATCAGCAACATTGTTGTTTGTGTGAATCTTTTTGAGTTGAAATTGCTTGTTCTCTATCACCAAGTGCAACCAGTGATATCTCAGATCTATATGTTTTGTTCAGGTATGGTACATGGTATACTTGCTCAAATCTATAGCACTTTGACTGTCTCAAAATACTACATACTCTTTCTACTTCAATCCCAATTCTTGTAGGAATCTCTTCATCCAAAGCATCTCTGTACCAGCTTCTGTAGCTGCAATGTATTCAGCTTCGGTTGTTGACAAGGCAACACACTTCTGCAATTTTGATTGCCATGACACAGCTCCCCCTGCAAAAGTGAACAGATACCCTGAAATAAATTTTCTATTATCAAGGTCACCTGCCATGTCTGCATCTGTGTATCCCTTTAGAATTGGTTTAGTTTGCCCAAATGTCAAACACAACTTGGTAGTTCTTCTCAGATATCTGAAGATCCACTTAACAGCTTCCCAGTGAATCTTGCCTAGATTAGACAAGAATCTACTCACGACACCAATAGCATGAGAAATGTCTGGCCTTGTACATACCATTGCATACATCAATGAACCAACTGTAGAAGAATAATGAATGGATGACATTTTCTCTTTTTCTTCTTTGGTATTTGGACAAGATTGTTTACTCAACTTGAAGTGATTTGCAAGAGGAGTGCTAACTGGCTTAGCATGTTTCATGTTGAACCTTTCAAGCATCCATTCAACATACTTCTCATGTGATAACCACAGCTTCCCAGCTTTTCTATCATGGGTAATAGCCATACCCAAAATTTGCTTTGTTGGTCCCAAGTCCTTCATGTCAAAGGACTTTGATAACTCCTCTTTTAACCTACAAATTTTCTCAACATCTTTTTCCTAAAATTAGCATATCATCAACATATAACAAAAGGATAATGAAGTTGTCATCAAGGAATGATCTGATATAGACACATGGATCTGCATTTGTTATTTTATAACCATGACTCATCATAAAAGAGTCAAACTTCCGATACGACTGTCTTGGAGCTTGTTTTAGTCCATACAAGCTTTTCTTCAACTTGCAAACCATGTGCTCATTCCCTTCTTCTTTAAAACCTTCTGGCTGATCCATATAAATTTCCTCATACAAGTCACCATGAAGAAATGCAGTTTTCACATCTAACTGTTTAAGCTCAAGATTCATGCTTGTTGTTAGACCGAGCACAACTCGAATTGAGCTCATTTTCACCACTAGGGAAAATATTTCATCAAAATCAATCCCCTTTTTTTTACTTGAGGCCTTTTCCCCCCATCGGGGCTTTTTTTTTACGGTTTTTTTCCCCTCTTTCTTGAGCTTGAACACCCATTAGTTCTTCAGGGTTTTTCTTCCTTTGGGAAGTTCCACAAGCTCATAAGTATTGTTTTATGTAGGGAGTTCATTTCTTTCTACATGGCCTTCATCTGGTAATCTTTGTCTTTGTGAGACTGTACTTCTTGGAAGTTCTCTGGCTCCCTCTCTTTAGTGATCAAGATATAATCAGAACTGGGGTATTTTGTAGATGGTTTGTGCTCTTTGGTGGACCTTCTCAACTGAGGTCCTTCCTCCTACGGTAGAGGTTGCTCCCCTTGCTCATTACTTCATCCATCTACACTTGCTTCATCTTTTTCAATTATGGGCTCCTTTGTCTCGTCTTCTGGTACTTGCATCTCTTCTTCATTTGTAATTTTTCTTGAAGGAGGTTTTTCCGGTGGAAGATCTTCTACACCTTCTCCAGAGCTTCTTATAGCTTTTTCCTCCTTCAAATCATTAATTTTCTCGTGTTCATGAAACACGACATTTTTACTTTTGACAGTTTTCTTCTTTTCCGGGTCCCATAGTCTGTAGCCAAACTCCTCATCACCATATACAACAAAATGCATGGAATGGCTTTATCGTCCAGCTTTGGTCTTTGTTCCTTTGGCATGTGCATAAATGCTTTACACCCAAACACTTTCAAGTGAGAGTATCTAACATCCTTTCCTGTTCAGGCTTTCTCTAGGATTTCAAAGTTTAAAGGAACTAAAGAAGACCGGTTAATCAAATACATTGTTGTGTTGACTGCTTCGCCCCAGAATGGATTAGGTAGAGTTGCCATTCTTAGCATGCATCAAACTTTCTCCACAATGATACAGTTCATCCGTTCTGCAACGCTGTTGTGTTGTGGAATGCCAAGAACTGTCTTTTCATGCCTTATGCCATGCTTCAAACATAGTCTTTGAATTCTATGGGGATGTACTCCCCTCCATTATCTGTACAAAGACATTTCAACTTCAAACCTATCTCTCTTTCCACCATAGCATGGTAATGCTGGAAATACTTGAAAACTTGGCTTTTATTCTTCAACAAGTATGCCCAAGTCTTCCGAGTTGCATCATCAATAAAAGTAACAAAATATTTATTGCCATCAAACGACTCCACCTCCAGGGGCCATAAACGTTAGAGTAGACCAAGTCCAGCTTGTTCTCTTTCCGAGTCAAATTCTTCTGAAAAGAAACTTGGTGTTGCTTTCCAAATAGGCAAACATCACAAGGATTCACATGTTCACCTTTGGTAGTGGGAATAAAGGACTGCTTAGCCAAAAGTTGCAATCCTTTCTTGCTCATGTAAGCTAATCTTTTATGCCATAAATTTGGAGAACCCTCATCTTCAACTGTGTTCAGTTGACCTCCACACGTTTTCATGTGTGTCTTGTATAATGAGCAACATGCTCCCCCTTTTGCCACCACCAATGATCCTTTGGTGAGTTTCCAGTTACCACTCCCGAAGTAGTGCGCGTATCCTTTTTCATCCAATGCTTTTGCAAACAACAGATTCATATGCATATCGGGAATATGTCGCCCATTTTTCAATGTCAATGTGCACCTAACGTTTGTCTGGACACAAATATCACCAACTCTCATAATATGAGAAACACTCTTGTTTCCCATTTTTATGGTGCCACAGTCTCCTGCTTTGTATGTTGAAAAATATTCCCTTTTGGGAACACAGTGATAAAAGGCATCAAAATCAATTATCCACTTAGCGTCCGTGTTTTCTGCATGGCAGCACTCCCCACAATCACATAGTAGAGTCACGTCACTGCCACTGGTAGATGCTACAGCAGTATTATTACTATCTTCAACCTTTTTCTTATCTTTTCCTTTCAACAAGTTGTAGTTCCTTTTCATGTGGTCTGGTTGGCCACAATGATAGGCCCTTCACTCTATTTTTGGACTTTGATTTGGATCTACCTCCTCGTCCTTTGGGTTCTCTGGTCTTACTCCTGCTTCTATTCTTCATGACTGGAGCTTGAGTATCTGATTGTGAGAAGATTCTCAGTGCCCGCATCCTTTTTTCTTCTTTAAAGATTCTATTTTTGGCGATTTCCAGTGTGACTTTACCACTAGGAGATGAGTTGATCATTGTTGATCTAAAACTCTCCCATGATTCCGGCAAGGTGTTGAGAAGAATCAGACCATTCACCTCATCATCAAATTCTATGCCCAAATTGGCTAACTCCTTGATGATGCCAAGGAAATTATTAATATGGTCTACTGTGGGAGTGCCATCTTTGTATCTTGAGTACATCAATTGCTTTATATAGCATAATTTATTTTGCCCAGTCTTCGCCCGAAAAAGCTCATCTAGCTTTGTCCATAGTGTGCATGCACTAGTTTCATTATTGATATGATTTAGCACACTATCATCAATCCACTGCCGGATAAATCCACACACTCGCCTATGGAGCAGCCTCCATTCTTCATCCTTCATGTTGTCTGACTTTTGCTTTGAAAAGATAGGCTCATGAAATTCCCAGTGTTTTTGGGCTTGGCTTGACCCGATCGGTTGGACCGATTCAACCAGACCCGAGCTTGAAAACAGGTAGGATATATCCCTCAGCCCGTTTTGACATTTGGCCTGCTCCATCCGTTGAACTCACCAGGCTACACCTCTTCTCTTCAACTAACCTTTTTTTTTTTTTTTTCATTTTAAAGACTCACTTGCTCTAGCGGCACTAGCAATTCTTGCCCTCTCCATCCTTTGCCTATGAAGAAGGCCAAGTCTTAGGTAGTGGCGTGCTCTCCTCTCGACCCTAACGAGAACGATCTTCACCACCACCATACCCAAGTCACAAATGACGTAGTATTTGATCCTTCAACTGCCATGGCTATCAACGACGACGTTAGGCCCAATGAATCCCATGCTCCCACTGGAACCAATTTGTCCCGCAAGAAGGCTACGACTGCCCCACCTCAGCTTGTGAAAAAGCTCATCATCAAGCTTCTTAAAGGTGTGCTTCTTTGTTGGATCTCATTTTGGATTCGTTTTTGGTGCTAAATGTTGCGCAATTAGATGATTTTAGGTTTTTGGATCATGTTGATAATTCCTTGAGTTTGATCTCAATAATTGCAAGCTTGTGGTGGTATTAGGTATTGGGTTTTGATGTTGAAGCTCATGGGAAATTTTAAGGTAAATGGAGTTTTTGGTTCAGTGTGGCTAGTTTTTAATTATTTAGATTTTGTATGACTTGGGGTTTGCTTGAAAATGGGGAAAGTTCATGACTTGCATAAGGACCAATTAATTAGGTTCTAACCGTTGCTTATTTTCTTATATTATATATTTTAATATTTATTACTTTAAATTTTAAAAATTATATATATTTAATTAAATTTATTATTTTAAATCACTTAAATGATGATTTTTAAGTTGATCTTATAATGATTAGTTCTTAAAAATATGGCGAAAAAATTATACAATTATAAAATCTAATAAATATCTAAAAAATATTGTTTTTTTAAGTTGACCGGTTGGACTAGTCGGATGAACCGGTTCAACCGATTGAACCAGACCCGATGGCCCAAACGGGTCAACCATCAAGCTGGGCCCAAAAACACTGAAAATTCCTTCACATAGAGAAGGTCCTCCATTTTTCCTTTCCACAGTTGATAGTTTGAATTATTCAGCATGATCATTTTGCTTTAATTCACCTCCATTATTCATGTGAATATTAGTAGCGCCTAACTCTAATACTAGTTGTTGAGAAAAATGCCGCAAAGGAATAAACTAATTCTTGTGAACAAACACGTGAATAATAACAAATAAATGGTGAAGCAAACGGCTTAGCTGACCAATATTAACGGTTAGTGAAAAAGGCGGCGTAGCTAGCCAAGTAAAATAAATTGGGCGATTTAACCAGCCACTTAGGAAGAAAATAAAATTAAACGAGTGGTTTAACTAGCCACTTAAGAGGAAAATTAAATAACAAGATGACATCAAATTTTACGTGGAAAAACCCCCAAAAACTATTGAGGGAAAAAACCATGGGACAAACTCCAAAGGGTATTCCACTATGTGATAAAATTATACAGAGTATACACTCAAGTGTTTTCTCTTTTAGTGTTTCCCACTTCCCTAAGATACGATCACAATCATGATAAACTCACAATTTTATCACTCAATGTACTCTCTCTATGAAGCACACTCACACTTAAGCTTAATGCCTAGCTCTCACCCCTTTTTTTCCTCTCACCCCTTTTTTTCCTTTCACCTGAGCTCTCACTTTGCTTACTTGGTGTTGCACTCTTCTTTTTTCTTGCTTGCCCATTGCCTTGCCATTGCATGGGTATTTATAGATGGAGAAACCAACTACCCATGTAATTTTTCTTCACCTCATTAAATGAGGTTTATCTACAATGGTTGAAATAGCCATTGTAAATTTTCAACAATGGCTGTTGTAGCTTACAGCCTTTTGCAATAGGACGGTAGAAATGGGGTTGGACTTTCATGGGCTGGAATTGGAAGCTTCTGCCAACAATTTTGGTTCTTGAAAATTAAGGGATGTTATATATTTCACTTGGCTTATAATGCAATGTGTGGTTGTGATGGTACCCATGGGGAAAGATTGGATATTAATAATCAGTGCAACTTTAGACTCGATCCAATGTGAAGTGATCTACGTACTATGCTTTTAGTTAATCATTTGTTCTCTTCTATTGGCATTTTCTATACTGCTTTCTTATTTCCTAATATTCTGCTTTCTGTGTTTTCTAAAGGCAGGGATGCATTTCAAAAGGCCCAAAGTAATTGACCGCATAGTATGAGACGTTAAATGGAAAGATGAAAGGATTGTGGATATGAAATATTTCATAGATGTTTTGGTTAGAAGTTGTCTGAAAGGAATCGAAATACAACATTTCTACTAATGTCTTTTTTTTTTTTTGTCTGGTGTTGATACTATGTTTGACCAAATTGACATAGGCTCTAATGTATGAAGTATTACATCTTACTTGGAGCTTGAAAACTCTTTTTTATGCGAAACTGATCATGTGCTTTCCTTTAATCATCTTTATTCCCAATATAATGATTTTGAGAGTTATAATTTGTTTAACTGTTATTGTCTTTAAATTGGTTTTTCTTAGTGAATGTAAATTAGATGTTTGCTTAAAGCTTCAATAACTCAATACTTAAACTTTTAGAAATATAATGAACATCAACCTAACATTAAGTTCTAACATCTTATTATTATATTTATTTATTTTTCATTATTTTTCATTGTAACATTCCTGTGTAAGGCACGTGTATTATCTAGATCGAAGATGCATTCACCCATGTCCTTTTCCTTTCCTCATTACATTCCATTTTTCCTCTTCTAATCAAATTGAAGATGCATTTACACATCTAAAAGTCATTGAGTTCGATGAAAATTGTACTAAGTTTTCATTGATGAAGGCATATTCCTACCCCTCAACATTCATATTGCCAACAACTCTTTGAAAAATCATTTTTGCCAATGAAATCTTAACAAAGACAATTTCTTTTAGCTAAATATTTTGCTATGACTATCAATAAAATGTTAAACTCTTTTTCCATGTAATTGGGATTTACCTTCTAAGTCTTGTATTTAGTCGTGATCAGTTGCATATTACAAGGACTATGTCTATTTTAATGTTTTTAGGTTACATCTTCTAATAATTTATTAAACTATTAATAATATTATAATTAGTAGCAATAGGCAAGTAAAAATTTTAAGCTATAGTGTGGATTATGTCAACCAATAAACTCATTAATTAAAGGATTTTTTTATTACTAATTTCTAAATTATTATGCATGTATTTCTATCACCGTAATCTAATCTTCTTAATTATTTATTTTACTATATATCAATTTTATATTAAATTTTTATTTTAATTTTTAATTCTTTACATTTCACAGATCTGGGCATTGCCCAGAGTATCAACTAGTTATCAGGAGGAAAAGGAAATCTTGTTCTCAAAAAAAGGAAATCTCGTATTCAAGAGAAGGTTATCGTATTCATTCTGAGTTTATCACTATTGACTTGACCTACCTTTTGAAGTTTACTAAATGAAGTTGCAAAAAAAGGGTAAGAAATATATAATAATTTTCCTTTCAAATTTTAAGTGGATGATATTTTCTCGCAAATAAGGAGGTTGATTTAATTAGCCAAGTCACGAGTACAAGGTTGATCAAAGTCATTGTAACATATATAGAACTGGAATTAATTTATTGCAACTATAGCATAAGGGCACATCACTACACAGCAGATATGCTTGAAGTGACTAAACCATTTTTCAAGCTATTATTTTTCCAGATAAGTGTAGCTTAATTAGGACTAGTTCCAATACGCCTTCAAGGGCAGAATATAACCTTGTAGTCGGTTCCTGTGGGACAAGTGAACAAACTGGTCTTATCATCCTTCGGATAGCTGTAAGCATCTGGACATCTCTCCTTAAAATATCTCGAGAAGTTTGTAGGCTCACAGTTACCGGAGTAGCAGCAGTACTTATCTGTCTTGTACACTGTACAGGGGTTATTGCACCCTCCTGGAGCCTTCAACTCCTTTGGACACTGTCCTACAATATCTGCAGTACACTTGATCACACGGCTGCACGTAGGGGAGTTGGAGCTGAACTCCATGGGAACATTAAACCCGTTGATGTTGGAGATGTCGATTAAGTCCAGATCGGCATGCTGGCCAAGGCCAACACCGAACTCGGCCAAAGTGTTGGGTGGCGAACCATAGGCTTTGCATTCGAGGAGTCCCTGGCAATCGCCTGTCTGGCAACTACCTCTTCCAGAGGCATCAAATTGGCAGTTGGTTCGTGCCCAAATGCGGGCTTTTGACGTGCCACGGGGTACGTTGATAGGCCAGGTTTCGCCTGGGTTGAGACGTTTGCCACCGCCTACAGGGACTGCGGCAGCCCAAACAACGTAAGGACAGTTGTTTCGAATATTAAATGTGGCTGCGGAGGCCACGGTGAGTAAGTAGAGAGTATACAAGAGGAAGGAAAATGCAGAGATGGAATTCATTGCGTAGGATAGGACTGTATAGCTTTTGCTTTTCTGTTTTATGGTTTGGTTTAAGAAGAAACCCATTGAGGTTTATATAGAGCTGATGGGGGCTTGGGATAGCGTTATTGAATTTAATTTTGTTGGAAATTTTAAAAGATGACGGCGCGAATGTCGTTCTTGTCAATGTTTGCCGCGCCACGCCATACTAATGTTAATTATGATGACGTATTCGGCGGCACGAGACATTAGTGTTACCAGAATATTTACGCAACAGCAATTGTCGGAATATATCTATCCATTACGATATGGTTTCCGCATTTGCTGCCAATCAAATACTTCTGATATTCAACCCAAAAAAGAAAAAAAAAGAAAAAAAAGTGATGCTGTTGACAGGCATTTCCGAACCTTCTGCGAATTGCGATGTGTTTTGGTTTTTGTAGAAAGAAAAGATACCCCTTTGAATAATTTTGGTAGTTTATTTTCATTTTTAAAATTTTTAACTATAAATTTTATATAAAAATTTAATAATTTATATGAATAATAATTAAAAAAAATTTATATGAAGTTATTGTTGACTATATATTTTTATTTTATTAGAAAAA